TTGTCTGGGTTATCATCAGGCGTATGCTTCAAGACTGCCTCCAGAAGTAATGGATATCGAGCTAATCGCGTGGTTGGTTTCGTCAAGTATCCATTGAGCTCAAGCTTGCGCGACTCTGGCAATCTTTCCGTAGTCTAAAACCACATCAGCTACCAGAAAGGACTACGATGGTAAAGTCGACTCACTTCCACAAACTGTGCAAACGCCGGATTGGAACTCTTCTCCTTTTCGAACTCATACTTTCCATACAGTTGGTGTGCACCGTAGCTTACGAAGGGCGCGAAATGCGGTACAGAATCAAGAAGGATGTCCCCGATGCGCTCCACGACAGCATACGACTTTTGTCGCTTGTTGAGCGCATCTCGAAGGCGGGTATTTACTGCGATGATTTCATGGATGTTCCAGAAGACTTGTGTGATGAAGTCCGTACGACGTTCGGCAGGGATGATGTCACTGTCTTTCAGCCCATTTATCCAGACCTGTGCAGAAGATTAGTTCACAAGTGGTAACATAAAGTACCAAGACACACATCGCGAAGGTATTCCATGTCGCGGACAAAGTCACGTTCTGTGTATATGACTTCGTTAATAGCTTCCTGGCGCCTTTTCTCGGCGTCGGAGACACTGTTGACGACCTCTTGCGGGACGGAGTGTATCCATAGTGTACCAGGTTCCTGCCCAGATGGAACGTAATTAGCACTGAGGAAAGGATGACTATATCACACGCACCACGAAGTCACCCAAGCTCTCCCTCGAGATCTGCTTCTTGAGCCCAGGCTGTGGCTTCATGTTTAGTCGTGACTGCTGCTCAAGCCTCCTGGGGCACGCTATACTATAACATAGCTGATCTCGTGTACACGTCGGGGAGTAGCAGTCCGTAAGAAGCGTGAAAACGCCCGAAGGAAGGGGCATCTCATCGATACTCTCCGATCCCTGGGGCCCACGCGGATCAGGGATCTCAACAATAGGTGAAGCGTCCTTCTCCTGTGTGTCACCATGCGAGTCGGTCGATCCCTGTCCAAAAGTCCCCGATCCACAGTCTTGAGGGCGAGGCGATGGCCGCTCCGGTTTCAAATCACCATCATCATCCCTGTCCCCAAAGTTTGTCTGCAGCTCACCGCTCACGAAAGGGCTTAATTTCGTGCGGAACTGGTACAGCTCTGCAGCACTATCCCTGAGCCGATGGTCATAGGTGACATCATGGAAAAACTTTTGCGCGTCGAGGGCACGACCAAGAAGTAGTGCGAGATTGCGGTCGGTAGTCTTGATTATATATGAGATCTTGTCGACCGCCTCACGACCATCGAAGGCATCCTTGTATGTGAGACCGTCCTTAATACGGTCCTGGAGGTTGATGCGTTCACGAAAAGCCTCCGCCACGCGGGAGAGGAGTGCAGGGTATACGATGGGTGTTCGGCGAGGGGGTCGTGCGGAGGTGGTGGGGCTGTTGCGACCCTCAGCAGCCATAAATGAGTTCGGGGCGCGAGAGCCACGATCGATCATAGTGCGGACGCTGCCCGAAGCAGCTGACATGGACATGGATCGGTCTTGTTGGGTGCGGTCACGACGAAAGGCAGCACCAGGCATCGTACGGACAGAGTCTGATGATCGACGACTGGTGGAAGCGGCAGCATGGGAAGATGAAGCAGGGGAAGTGTTGATGAGGGAACTACGAGTGGACATGAGAGTGGTGTCGAGTTGAAGGGGTTGTGGTCGTGAACTGGCAGATGAATTGCTCTGATGAGATACAATGGAAAGAGGGCTTGCTTGTCGATATTGCTGTGCCCTTGGGAGGGGAGCCATTGCTTTGGAAGGGGGACATTATGAGCTCATTGTGCAATGTGACGAGATATGGGAGAGTGGAACCCACGTGTACATTCTCTTGTATTTGCACCCGTGTTTGGAATGGCCCATGGCAATTCACTTGTGGACTCTTCTGGACCTCCGTGATCGTCAGTGCTAAAATCGATACTGAAGCGAGTATCCTCGAGGTCAAGATTGACGCCCAGACGGGGCACATCGTTAGAGACACGATGATGGTTGCCGTTCAAAGAGGGTTCCCTTGCGGAATTGGCCTGCTCGTTGGGCTGCTGTTGATTGGTAGGACTATTACGGTAGACTTGAGCCTGATAAGCCTGTGCAGGGGTGAGGCCTGCTCTCGTAAGAGCCTCGAGGGATTCATCAGGCGGATCGTCTGGTAGCGGCGAGATAATACCAGCAGCATGGGGTGAACTGACGACAGATCTAGCTCGACCATGAATCATGGGAGGCGCCAGAGTGTGTGGACGTGTGTGCTGAGCATCATGGTGGTGTGCAGGCAGTTGTTGCTGGGATGCAGCTGTATGTGGATATGACTGCCTGTATGGCGACTGCAGGTGCTGTTGAGGGTGTTGCGGTAAGTGATTTGGATAGTAATTTTGACGTTGGGATTGTGATGTCCTCCTGTCATGATGGTAGTGTGCGGGGTATGGTTGGTTGTGGTATTGGGCGCCATGCACAGGCATGCCGTGTATTGACTGTGCATATTGCAGCTGCTGCGCAGCAGGCTGGCCGGGATGGTGTCCTGCCTGGTGGTGAGAAGCGGATGGCCGACCGAAGATGGACTCGTATGCCTCATTTCGCTTGTCTGGCTGGCGTGGCCCAGCTGGCCTGTCCATCGCGCCGGTATCTGAAAAATCAGTGTTCTAGGGCAATCGTAGACAGTTGGTAAACAAGAGAGTTATCGTCACGTACGGGTCGCTGGTGCTGGCGTTGGCTGCGTGGTAGAGATCACACAAGACTCAGTTTTCGGCCTGTAGTTGGACCAAGTTTGGTTATCGCCCGCTGATTCGCTCACACGTTCTTCCTCAGCGTTAACGACGGCGAAGACAATGTAACGATCGATGATGCGGCGGCGACCACCGCGGTAACTTCGTTGATGCACTGAATGTAGAAATACAAGTTACGGTCAAGATACAGTTTGATTTACGTAGAAGATATCGAAAACGTCATTGATAAATTCTCCACACGATTTCCCACTTGCATTGACAACACGGATCAGTCTTCCCGACACTGACACTCCCAACTCCACGCGACAAACATAGCCTCTTGACCACAACACCTTCGTTGAATTCGGCCCCGCCTTAAAAGCAAGGTTGCTCATGAACTTGCTCCACTCAAGAAGGAAGCTACTCGCTTCGAGGCCAAGGGTCTAACTAGGAACCGAAGGACAATTAGAACCATGGTTTCATTTTGCAGCCCGAGCGCTCGACCTGCATGCTCAAGGCTCGGTCTTTGCACATTCCTCGGACCGTCTCGTAATGACAGGTGTCAGCAGGTCAGAGCGTTCCCTGTTAGTAATTGGTGACCGTATCTGCTATCATCTTGCAGGTCTGAAAGAGAACTATTCCTGGGATAGACGCGCCACTATAAAAAAATTTCGCTTTTACACGCCCGGCGCTATCCACTGCCCAAGGAGAAGTAGAAGTCTCGTTCGCTCAGGTGCGCCTGCTGGATGCTGCGAGTTTTGGACCTACCATCCACCGCCGTGTAAAACTATGAAAAAAAGGATCGGACTAAACCACCTAAATGATGTTCCTGGGCTAGCACTTACCAAGCAAAAGCACATGCTACCAAACTGTCATCGAGGGCCCCGTAGGCTTGGCCTCACTGACTCACTGACTCAGGGCTAGACCGGGACTCGTTGCTTCACAGGAGTCCCGCCGGGAACCCAAACTCGGCTACTTGTAATAGAAGAAACGACTATTTTTCTTTATCGGTCTGCCTACTGTACTAAGAAGACAGCTGTAGAAAAGAGACTTCGCTTAGTACGCGGCGTTTACCTTGTCTATCGCGCGGGGCCGAGTAGAAACGATTCATTATTTTGCACACTTAATGATAACTCCTGGAGCTCGACATGGGGCAGGAGTTCACATCCTCGGGGCCAGAGGATTCGACTGGCCATCATTCATGGTCAGAGCTTCTCAGAGTTTCTCCCTGAATCCCATTGATATTCAAGGTCAGGAGTGACAAGCTTCTGCACGAGGACTTGCCTTGAATATTGACTTATTACAGGAAGAGCAGGGATGGTCAGGCATGCAATAATAACCTGGAGAGAAGCCTCTTGCAAGCTCGACTAAAGGAAAGGGCAGTTTGATTCACAAGCAATTGAAGCATTCAGCTTTAGGCTGGCACTATTCATGCACATCGCCAATTGAGAACTTCGTCCCGTCATCTTCCTCAGCGGTTCTTCTCAGGTCTTCCCCCAGCAGTCCTCTTACGCGAATATTGCTAGGCGGTGTGGTCTCTGAGCCACCTCGGATACTTCTGGGGTGAGCAGTCTATATCGCAAGAATCACGAGCAACTAACGTGGCGGGACTGTCTGAAAACGAGAAAGGTCAGGAACCACACGTTCGGAGGATGTTAAATGATAAAACATACCAGATTCTGAAGAGGAATACGTATCGACACCAGCGCTTTTGAGCTGCTTCAGACCATGCCCATCGGCGACTATGAGTCATCGTTGATGTGACTCCTGAAAGGATCTGCTTCACCGGATGACGTCCAATTCCTAGCGTATTGCCCGATTACGCATGGGATGTGTCAAACAACTTCGAGACCTCAATCAGGAATTCAGGAACGACAAACTGATCCTACCTGAAGAACAGTAATCTTATCTGCATCGGCGCACATCGGCCATGGCTAAGGCTACCTTACGCGCGCCTACAACCGGGCAGAGGGTCGAGTAAGTTTTGATAAGTCATATAGACTATAATGCCAGCTGACCTCAAGCACAAAAGGTGTATTAGCTGCACGCGCACTTGATAAGGGTGATCGATTGATCCTTGATACTTGCAAGAAGAACAAGAACCGCACCTACTGCGGATACTGTATTCTGATGTCTGACGTTCCATCATTCGCAACCTGGTGAACGGTTTGTTGGTCCTAGCCGCTTTTATGGGATTCCGGAATTGATTGCTCGTGACCGACGTGGAATTTCAGACGACCAACACCTGCTATTTAATTGGTTGTAACAGGCAAGTCAGAAAAATGTGATCATGTCCGAGTGTAGTAGTGTACAGTAAATCAAACAACCGATTGCGAACAAGTACATATATATATGTTATTCAGTCTGACACTTGTATCAGTGGCCCAGGGCCCTCACATCCACGTGCCCAAATCCTTTCGCGATCCAAACAAAGTACACACAACTTGCGAGAACAGGACAGTGGTAGTGGAATAAATGGAATAGTGTCCTCCTGAGTCTCCATAAACGTCCTGATTTCCTTGAGTGTCCAATGGTCCGGCAGGAGAGAAGCGGGGAACGTGACCAGCTCTGCCCATATCGCCTTTGCGCTAGACGCAGGGGCACATTGAGTGACCGGAGGTTCCCTGTGCGGAATGAGCATCGAAAATGTCTGAAGTTTCTTGAAAGGAGCCCGTGCCATCCACACAGGCACTCTGTAGGGTTCAGAGTCTAGAGGACTAATGTTGCTGGCGCAAGTGCCCATGAAGTGTCGATGCATTTCGTAGGACGAGGAAGTGAGTAAGGTAAAGTGTTGAATGGAAGCGAGGAAAGTATATCCATGGATAGTCCCCATGAAGGGCCACCATTGATAATTGATACTACCAGATAGTGTTAAACTTTTCGTGCTCCAAGGAAACAGGGAATTTCTGTGGTTGACATTCGAGTTGACATTGGAGTTACACGCATATCTGAGGCAGCCTAAAAGCACGTCCAGACTTGCAAATTCGATCGCGAGGGAGGGTACGGCAAGGATCACCGGAGCCAGTAGGCTGACATCTGATTCTGATTCAGGCTTAGCAGTAGAAGGGGTAACGCTGTTAATGAAGGAAGGTTTTATGTCTCGCAAAGGCCCATAAAATTCTCCGATCCACATCCTGTGCACGCAAGATGCGTAATCAAGAATTAGATCATCCTGTTGTTGATGGAGGTATGTTTTCTGCATACGTAGAGCCCGTATGAAAGCTGTTACGTGGCGAGCTCCTGGCAATAATACTGTGTGCAGAAGTTCTGGCATCACAGTGCGCCTGACCATTCTAGAGACGCGAGATAGTGAAAGGGCAGATGAGTATGGATTTTTGGTAGCATAAGTGTCGGGTTGAGTAAAAGTTGCTTGAGCAACATATTTGAATATGAGAAGGACGAGCTCAGTTGGGAGGTCGCTAAATCTAGATGAGATGGGAGTACTTTCCATGATGTGTGAGTAAGAGACAGCTGATTTGACGCCTTTAATACTCACCTCATGAATTGTGGCATTATCCACAGCAGTGGAGTTGCATTGTGTGTGGGACCACAAGCTCTGTCCCGATACTAGTCCATAGCTTATTCCTTTTCGTCCGATGTGTTTTGGGTCTGTGGATGCTAGAAATTACTAGGGCCACTCCCATCATAGGAACAATGCGAGTGTGGCACGAATCATACTAAGAGAGTTGATCGATGTTCGCTATGGTTGTATTTGATGAGGGGAGACACGACAGAATGAGGTAAGCATTGACAACAAAGCATCGAGACAGCAATTGGTACCTGTACAAAGGCCTACAACCATAAAGTAGGCGGCGCCACATCATGAGGACCAACTTGAGGTTCCGTGTTCGGTTGCTTACAACGCCCGTAGAACGTGTTCATACTAAATCAGAGAGAGAAATTTTCATCGACAATATGATTTGGTACCTCTGTGAGTTGTGCGTACGTGGGCAGATACTAGGGAGGAAGAGAGTTAGCCAAAATAGATTTTGCGAGGCTGTGTCAGCATTGGCATATCGGTAGGGATGTTCGGCGCAATGGTTTAGAACTTCGTTATACAAATCCACCCTTAGAAGGGCTTAAAACTATGGCTCACCGTCTGGCAGTCTTTCAATACAACTTGAAGATGGTGAGCCAGCGTTGAATAGACGACACCTCTAATAGCATCTGCGCCGGAGGTCAGGATGGCGAAAACGCCTTGGCCTAAACGCTTCAGGCCCGCGTACATCGATTGGGATAATGATATGCGGCAAGGCCCATCGGAAAAGTTGTAAGTAGGATTCAAGTTGATCAATTTAGAGCCTCTTGCGGGGTGCTACTTATTAGGCACTTGATCCAAGAGAAATGAGGACATGATTAGTTCAACACTAGGAGTACTGAAGCCTGACCGTGACAGACTCGGATGCATGATGAAGATCAACTATAATTTCATAAAAAGGCTCCGGCTAACTTTCGACCGATTTGACAAAGTTCAAACACGTGAGCCGTAACAGCGACGCTCGTGATATTCGTCGATCAGACTCTCCGGGATACTTCAAATAAGTTGCATTGTGTTGCACTGGTACTTATTCCTCCAGCCTCATGCTTTCCAGGCTCCCTCCCTCCATAGTTCGTCAGAGACCTTTATTACTTAGAATGATCCATATGCCATCTCTCACCGGGCCACGTCCGGTTGACTGGAAAGCCGCTGCCCCTCCAATACCCAATTTCGTGCCCCAACGTGACGCTCTACCTCGTTTGCCAGTTCCAAGCCTCACTGCTACCCTCGAGCGACTGAAGACGTCATTGTTACCGTTGGCACATTCGGAAGCTGAATTCACTGATGCTGTTAAGAAGATCGACGCATTCGGTTCACACGCTGGGCCAGGGACCCAATTGCAGTCTCGTCTCCTGCAACGTGCAAGTGAACGCGAACATTGGCTGGAGGAGTGGTGGGATGATCTCGGCTATTTGGGCTATCGAGATTCGGTATGCTCAGCTCCACTACGCATGGCGCTATATTGACACGTGCACAAAGGTTGTGGTGAATGTTTCATATTACTGTGAGCTGTACAACAGTTCCTCATGTCTTCAGCCCTGACGGTTCATACACAGATGGCTTTGATGAGCAACCTGCCCACCTTCCGCAAAACCCTGCTGCTCGTGCTGCTGGCCTGGCACGTGGAGCCCTCATATTTCGGCAGAAGCTGTTGAGTGGTCAGGTGATCCCTGACGGAACAAAGGAGGGTCAGTTCTGTATGGACACGTATCGGTACGTGACGGAATATCAAAGTTGTTTTTATCTTTCAACCCCTCATGAAGATGGATGTTTGATTGCTGTCGTATACCTGGCCTCCACGGTCTCGACTGGAGTGTATCTAATGCGAATTACAAAGCAGATGAATTAGGCCATATCATTATTGTGAGGAGGAACAGGTTCTGGAAGCTCAAGGGTATCGTGAATGGGCAAATACTCAGCATGACTGAGCTGGAGAAGTGTGTCTATCCCGCTTTGCTGCTTGTACCACAAACTAACGTTCACTACAGACAAATCCAATACATCTATGACTCTACCACCGAAGAATACCCAGGAGTTGGTGTTTTGACTGCATCAAACCGTGATGTGTGGGCCAAGGTACATCCGATTATCTATGCGCATTCTTAGTGACACCCCCTGAAAAAATGTTAGGACCACGCCCACCTGGCCGCGAACCCACACAACGCCTCTATTTTGCATACAATACACTCATCTGCCTTCCTCATATCCCTGGACACTGACACGCCCTCCTCTCCCATTGATCATAGTCGCTCTCTCTGGCACGGTTCGCTCTCACCCCCTACATCGGATGCACCTGGTCTGAAGAACCGCTGGGTCGACAAACCTGTCGAGTTTATCGTTTTTGACAACGCACGTGCTGGTCTCCTGGGCGAGCATTCCGTTATGGATGGCACGCCTACTGCGCGTATGTGCGATGAGGTGCTCGACTGGCTCGCTGATCCTGCTTTTGACCTCGGGGCGCCCTCTGCGATTCCACTGCCGAAACCCGAACCATTAGATTTCGTGGTAGACGACACGACGCACACCGCAATCGACAAGGCGTCGAAAGCCGCATATAAGCTTGCCGATTCACAATCAATGTCATACCACCTCACATCCTATGGCAAGGCCGCCATCAAGGCGTTCCGTGTTTCCCCCGATTCATGGGCCCAGATGGTCATCCAACTGGCGTATGCCCGCTTCCTTCGTGCACGCGGGCTGAACAGGGAAGGAGGGACCTACGAGGCAGCAACTACACGCAGATACTGGAAAGGCCGGACGGAGACTATCAGAGTCGTCACCTCGCAATCGGATGCTTTTGTTTCGGCGATGGATGACCCTCGTGTCAGCTGTGAGAAGCGAAAACAGCTTTTTGATGCGGCTGTCAAAGCGCACATTACACTGGCGAAGGCAGCAGGGACTGGAGAAGGCGTGGATCGGCACATGCTGGGTGAGTCACTCTCGTCTTCTTGGAATGTGTCGTGCATGCTGACGAGCAAACTAGGATTGAAACTGTGCCTCAAAGAAGGCGAGTCGGTCCCAGAGCTTTACAACGACCCTTTGTACAAACGCTCCGGAAACTGGGTTCTGAGCACGAGTGCCATCTTCTCAGATCATTTTCCTGTGTATGGGTGGGGTGAAGTTGTACCGGAGGGTTTTGGGGTGGCATATATGACTGGATACGACGGTATGTTCGAGCTGAGAGTCTGTATTTCTGTGCCGAGTTTCACATTTATTCACACAGACCGCCTGCAATATACCGTCACCTCACGAAAGGAGATGCCAAACCAGGAGTTTACGGATGAGATTGCGAGGGCCGCAGTTGATCTATATGGTTTGCACGCTGGTCAACAAAGGTCTATGCTGTAACAACTTTTGTGTACTGCGTGCGGAGTTCTGCAGCACTACGGCGTCTGCTTTCCGAGTCATTTGATCATTAATTTGCTGCAGAATTCGTTTGTCCAAATCAATAGCGTGGTGAATTGATGCTTCAAGACAAATCCCCTATGAGCGAAATTACTAGAGCACCAATGGTGCGCGTGCTGTGAAGTTAGCGGAACTATGATATCATTAACGGTGCTTGCCCGACTCCCCGATTCCAAGATCTCATTTTATATATGTTGAATGCATTCCCAAATGGTGGCAGGAGGACTTCAGATGATGTGCATAAACGCGCAGACGGTCTGGATCGGATGATGGCGTCTAGAAGTCCATGATTCACATGACCTACCCCGTCAGCGACACACTCTTTGAAGTTAGACCCGAGAGTTTCGGCGAAGTTCCAGAAGGAAGAAACAAAATAGATTCTACCGCGATGGCAGAATAGATAAGAACGAACACAATCACAATCGGACGAGGCCCGCTAGTCCCGGAAAAGCCCCTCAGTGGCGCCTCGCAGACACAGGAGAATCGAAGAAAGCCGGAACTTGTGAACACATTAGGAAACTACGGAGGCGCCGTCCCCAGCGATATCCGATGAAGTGTGACGCTGAGTCACGAGGTTAAAAGATTTTCGAGCGTCGCAACTTGTTTAACCCCGATAAATCAATTTCAGCAGATGCTAAAGCGCTAAAGCTTAAAGGGCTATTTTTTTTGAAATATATAATTTGTCTTGGTACGAAGCAATTGTGACAACAATATTTGATGTCACAATGAAACTTATCAATTGAAACGCACCGATTGCTCATGTGAAAGGATACGAGAAGCGCTGCTGGTAATAGTACAGAGCTCTAGAAGTCACGGAGCTGTGGAAGCTTGCGAGCGCCGTGTGGAAATAACGTAACGCGCGCCTGCCATGGTCACATCAAGAAGGACTGAATCACCGTTATCTGTGGACGACCATAGCCCCTAATTTTAAATGTAGACTATTCCTAGTGCTTCAGCCTAACGCCCAGGCATGAGAACACATTCCCTAATATTTGACCAATGGTTGCACACAGGGATGGATGAAATAATTAAGTACGATTTTCTTTTAGTCGCGTGCATATGAAAAATTCCAGACATTGCTTTCTAAACAAAATGTCGGCATGACTACAGAGATAGCAAGAAAAGGTACACCGTTGATCAAAGGGAAGAGTATAAAATTATACACTACGAGAGAGACATCTGAAAGGATATTTGTATCCTAAGTACGAGACATATGCATGGGGTTTGTGCGGTAATTCAAAACAGCGCGCGAGTATCGGCAGTCAGTGAAGGCTACCTATATATTCCAAGAACGTTTAACCCTGAGACGCACAATAGTGATCTAGATAATGTCGAAAGCGAGCATAACAGCGTACAGAACAATGAATATCGTTTGTGAGTGAAGACTGAAACGGAAATAAACTTTCGGAGAATCTTTCCCTAGAATCCAAACAAGAGCAATTGCGAACGAGGAACTCGCCACAATGAATGGATTGTGGAGGAAGGCCATCATGACGACTGCTTGAACGACAGTTAAGAGTATCCGAGTCTTGAGCGGGGAATCTAGAAGAACGGGTATTGTTGGGACTGCAGTCTTCTTGTCCTCGTCGTAGTCGCGCACGTCTGCCAGGATCTTTGGAAGACCTTGAGTTGGAAGTATATTTACAAGAAGGAAGTTGTCTTACACAATGACAAGTGCGATTAACCGTCGACCAAATGACAGTCTCAAAGATCGTCCATGGAGGTGGGTTATAAGCCGATTGCGATGATACCTGCAGTGTCGAGTAAACAACGCAGAATACCCCACAACTGTCTTCAAGTTAAAACCGTAAACCATCAGGACGCGACAGTACATACCCTCGAATGATACCGCTAAATAGAGCCTTCACGCCAGGAATTCGTTTGATTATGAGTGGTTCGTTAGTTTGGGGTGAATCAGTTTTCAGTTCTTGATCGTGATTTGCCCCTATGAATTTCTTCAAGACTGCACTGATCCGCCAAAGCTCGATCGGCGTCGTCCACAGAAAGGCGGGGACGGTAAAAAATGCGGTGACGAGAGTCACTTTTGGTGGACTTTGACACAAGGCTACGGCAAGCAATGACGCATTGAACGCCATGAAGATACGGGCGAGGGGGGTAAGGCGCTTTACGACAGCCGCACCCGGAGTACCGATTTCAGCTTCTTGATCCTTCATGTGGTCCATCCCGATAGTAAGAACATCACATGTCGCGCATATAGCGATCTTTTAGGTTGTGTAATCAGAAAGACTGTGGAATCCACAAACGAAGGGCTTACCGGCCTCCAGTCGAACTGTCCAGCGATCTCGTAGGATAGGAGGGATGAAAGCACACCACTGCTGATCGCCACGATGATGGGCTGCAGGATCACAGAGCTAATGAAGGACGAAACTGTGGGCGTAGCCATTTTTGTTGAAGGTAGGCTGTCTGCTCTGCAAGTCCGATGAAAGGGTGTGCAACGAGTTGAAGTCTCGTAGCCTAGTAGGCGACCTTTTATCATCTCTAAGTAGGTTCTAAAATTGGATGACAACGTACATCACTTACAGCAGACAGAGGTCAAGACCTCCAGCACCGCTCGGTGATGATCGATCGCCTGACTGTTGTACCAGTCTGCAGCCTCGCTGCCTCCGGTTCGCCCCAATGCCTGATGTTTAATGAAAGGACCTCGAAAACTCACCGTGAATTTCTTGATGTGGTGATTCAGAAATCATTATTGTACGAGATAAGCTGTGATTGGCCTCGGTTCCGAAGAATCATCTCCTGTATGTCTATGAAAAGTTTCGGCTGTGAATGTTTGAATTCGATGGTTCGATAGGCGAAAACTCACTGGGCTGTTTTTGTGATAAGGCCTGGTCGATCCTAAAACTTAGATAAAAGAGGACGACACTCCATTGAGACTAGAGCCAGAACGTTCGGTTATCTGTGCCGGGTACTGGATTTACCGCACTTCTCCCCTTAAAGGATCATCTTGAATCTTTGATAGCCTGGGGCTGTCCCGCATTCTGATGGTCACTGAGGTCCAGCTGTCTTGTATCTGATCAATCCCTTGGTTACATTGCATCATCGTACGATCGTACATTCTGCACGGGCGAGTATGTTTGCCTGTTGTTCAAAAGTTTCGTCCTGTGTTTCTCAGACTATTAGTTCGGCACATATCAAGAATTAATTTGTCTTGACCCGAGCAGTACGCTGAAATTGCCGCACTCGATTCACGTTACCTCACTGAGTCGACCAAAAAAGTTACATCACGTGTGCATGTAGAAATGAAAAGTGTCCTGACTCCTCAGTGCCTCGAGGGGTAACTTGAATGGCGTCGGTGACAAGGAAGATGATTTCTTCTATTTTTGTGTCAGCGCCTGCGATACACATGGTGGGTAATTTTAGAACACCGTCTGGTCCTGCATCAGGAATAGCACAGCAATCAAACCAACTCATATCATGTGATCACGTTAGTTCGCCTCGCACGGGACCCGCGGGCTCGATTCATTTACATTATGAGTTCCGTTCAGCGCTTCAATTATTGGGCGCGCATCGGAAGTGACCAAAATGGTCGCTCGCGTCCGACGCGTTCTTCGGCTCTCTCACCTCACCCTCATCATTACGAAGAATCAGCGTGGCCATTCGTTAAATTTCGTTTCAATATTCAATATAGCCATGCGCTGCGAGACGCTCATTCCACCTCGGTGACCAATATAAGCGGAATTCGGCTTAAGTACTTCGCGTGCCTAGAATCTTACAGTGGGGAACATACTCTACAACTACAAGCTTCATACCGATAGACCAGAAGCTCAAAAATTCGCTTAGCCGTTTCTGTTTATTGTTGGAACGAGTGCATCAGACAGAAGCGCTCCGACCCGGAGTCACGCTAGTCATCATCATAACTAGAACAAAGCTGCTTAGCCTTTTTTTTTCCTGGTCTACATGGTATGAAGTTAACTATAAGTTACGCCTCGAGGAACAACTCATATGACCAGTACTATATATAGCACGTAACTCTAGTCTGGCTGCTCGATTCTAAAAGTTCGAGCTAGCACCATATCTACTAGTAGTACAAGCAGTTTTAAAGCACATCGTACTAAACCTCGCTACTAGTACTAGTAGTAATCCCTGGCCTCCAGCAGACCCAACCCTGATCTAAACGTATAATCAAGCGATTCCATTTTTGAGTGAGAGATAGTAAGAGGAAAAGAATTATCTGAAAGGCCGCGGCAGCAACAACGTTCTCCTCGACTTCCGTTTTCTCATTGACTGTCTACCTCCTGTATGTGTATATGCTAATTATATCGTAGCTACTAGCTCAGAACGTGGAATATGATGATATGCGAGATAGCACTGGAAACGAAAAAAGGACCCTGCCACTCCCGACCCGTCCTGCCAGACTCCGACAGAGCGCCCCGCTCGACCATCATCAGCTGCGACCGTGGATTTTGAATCTGTTCGTTCGATGTGATCCATATTGCAGTCTAGATTAATTTCACTGCAACTTCGTAGATTGTTCACTAGTCAAGTAGCAACAGGTGCCAGTATTTTTGAAAAATGTGCCTGCAGACGAACTTTGAGGACGTCATTGTAAACAGCCAAAACGAATTCTCATGCGTCGTGTCACGACAGACCATATACGCCGAGAGTAGACATTTGACAATAATGCGCAATGAGGATGACCGGCATGCTAGAAGGATAAAATTGAACAGTGTGTTACAACAGTACCTTGACATATTGTAATTGACACCCCATCATAAGCGGCCACACCACGAAAGGGAGTTGAAGTGCAAGGACAGGCACAATAATTGGCTGACAAGGATAATTTCAGCCATGCACAGACATTTTCAGGGCACGAGGATGAAGATGCGTGGTATTCAGGGTGATAGATGGCACCATAATAATTTCGGAGACATCGTGACAAGCATCAAGTGGAGGACAATGTAGTACATCAGGTACACAAGAAGCCGTACGTGCAAGGCTCTTAACTTGAAAAATACACTGATCATAATTAGAATCACAAGTACTAGTATGCAAGATTCCAAGCGATGATCGACTCACATATTTTTGTACACACCAAGGGGATAATACGATATCAATCGCTGTACGGAGCTAGCTCGGTCGCTGTGGGTTAAGCAAGTGGGCAGACGAGAGAACGAAACATATATATCTATGCAGATACGTATACAAGACAATTTCAATGTAAGGAACATGCAGTTGGCAACAACTTACAAACCGCTTATCATGACATAATAAGGCAATAAAAACCCACACACTTTTGACTCTCCGCTTGAATTACGAAGTCTGCAGGATCGATCAGTTTGGTTCCTCGGAGTCGGGGATGATGCAGCTGTGAGGTATTTCCGCTCGACGTTCATACTATGGGCACACGTACGTAAGTACTCCCATATGATTGTCGTAGTACATGTCCATCATGATCTCAGGACCAGTTATGAGCATGACAACCAACTTTGACATGACAGAAACCTGTTCAACAATATTTTACCTGAACATTGCTGGGCGACTGGAGCATAGTCTCGGATCCACGCACTCTTGACCCCAAGTTCGAGGGCGCCAGCCTATCTAAATTATGCTATAACCACCCCTTGATCACGCACAGACGTGGCATCTCAAGCAGCAGCAGTGACCATCCTTGACTCAGCCATCCTAAAGATTTTGCACGCTGTAGGTCATTGTCACAGCATCTGACCTGGCCGGAGGTATGCGAGCAGCAGTACCAGAGACTCAACGATCTCTTGAAATTTGGAGGTATTCTTCACGATTCCCCCGTTCGTCGTTTGTTAAGCACAGTCTAAATAGTGAATGTATACGAAAGCAATTCTCCTGTTCATCAGAAACAGGCAGAGACAAAGGACGCAAGACCGTACCATCCAGCGCACTCTGCGCCGTTGTACAATAGTGCGCTAATATATGACAGACCACTTCAAATACAACGAAGTCTACTTCAAATTCATCATCGCTCGGATGTGTCCTTCTCTCGTTGTGTTCACACTTTCAAACGAGCAGTGAAATGGTTCAGGGTGACTACGGCAGAGTCAGCTGCAAATTCTTGAATGTATACGTCACTTACATCACCATGCCTGTGGTGAACTCCGGCTTCACCTCAATCTTGTTTCCATTTGAGTCTTTGGCATGATCGATGCGCAAGACGGCGAGTATGGCAGCAGCAGCAGTCCACAGACTGTTCTCTGCAAACCAACGACCTGCCAAGGGCATTTGTCATCCTCGACACTACCAGATCAACCATGAATCAGCCTACCAGGACAAATACGCCTGCAATGGTCGATGAATGATTGAAAATAATAGCAACTGTGAAATATTCACCTGCCATGATCAAAGGCAAAATGGCTGACGAAAGGATCCTTCAGCTTCCCGTCAACTGTTAGATGGCGACTAGGATCGAAGCGTGATGCATCGGGAAAAATGTCCTCATCCCGAGACATTGCCCTGAACCATGCTCAGCTCAAGCCATTACATGCATTCCACCGTAACATACCACTGATTAACCACTACTATCACAGCTGATTGAATTACAGATGAGTCAATGGCAACCTCGAGTCATACAACTTCGAACCTTTGGGTATAAAGTACCCGTCGTAAACATCATCATTTGATGTCGCATGTGGAGCTCCTGTGCAAGGGGTCAGCCATGCAAACACAAAATTATATTACTGCTGACCAACCTAGGGGGGCGACAGGATACCATCTCAGGACCTCGCATAGAATGGCATCAAGATATGGCAATGACGCCCTGTCATCAAGGCACGGCATTTTATCACGCCTCACAGCTTGATCAATTTCTGCACGAGCCCGGGCTTGAACGTCAGGATAGAGCACCATAGCCAACAGGAATATCTGCAATACAGATGTAGTCTGTGAGACATCATTACATCAAAGTAAGAACCAGGGTTGCTTGAGTAGCGACTCACGGTTTCGACACCAGCTAAGATACCATATTCTTGTCAGCGGATGAATTCTGTCCTGGTAAAAAGTCTTACCTATGTATCCCGTCAACGAAACAGCCTTCATCGTGTCTCTGTCAGCGTCATCGTGAGCTTGACCGAGAAAGTCAGCAACTAATGAGCGTGAAGCAGTACCATTTGCCTTCACGCAAACAAATCAGGCAAAATTTCCATTCCCAACTCTGCGTAAACGTACCATCTGCGTCTTCACTTCGTTAAAGGGCTCGTTCAGAAGTTGTTGAGCTAATTCTCTAGAGCATCCCATCAGGTAAAGTACTCCACCGAAGCACCAAAACGGCAACTTTGTAACTGCAACCTCATTCCTGAATGTTCAAAATTATGTCGTCGATAACGGCACTCACGGAAAGGAAAGGATGTGAACATGGCAGCCCTCTCAGGAGAAATGATATGTTTTCCGATATCAACGAGTTCGTGCGCGCGGGTAAGAAATGGGTCTTCATGTCCACGAGCATGGTGTCCATATGTCACGGCCATGATTAAGGATCCCGTGTATCTGTCACAAGGATTGATCGTCAACTGAACCATATGTAAAACGACACCACTAGATTAGATACGAACGCTAGAGTGTGTTGCTGTAGTAGGTCACTAGCGGCATCTCCTAAGAGATTGATGACTAGTTCATTTGCGTAGCGAGAGTACATCTCGTGGTATGAGACCGAGACTTCCGCCCTGAGGGCTTGATGGAAGATCTTGCGATGTTGTCGCAAAGTTTCTCCATACGGAAGGAATACAGTATTGAAATCCAGTCCAGCCCTACATCATGATCAGCTGTTGAACAAATAAAACGAGAACCGGCAATGCATACAATTTGTTGGTGGGAATAACTGGGCGAGTAGAATAATTCGCAGAACGCCTGTCAAGCAACTCTCGCACAATGGTTTCAGAGTTTATGATGATCAAGTCGACTCCAAGTATGCGTGAGCGAATGATTTTCCCTATGATCAGGTATGAGGTTGAATATAATAGCTGACATTGGTCCGCTACCAACCATATGTCTTTCCCCACACAGTATATGTGAGCCAAGGTCGTTTCGTATCCAATTGCAGCGCATTACCCAGAAACGGTAACGGACGAGGGCCAGGGGGCAGAGGTAAAGGGTAGACACGTCTGCGGGTCAGACCCGAAGCGACAACCAGGGCAACAATGCACGATGCCCCTAAAGCAAGAATATGAGTGAAGAGCATAGAGATGGATTATAGTCGAGTCCATGTTAGTTCGCCTTATAAAGGGGTCTTCGAGACTTTGACACCTGAAAGTGGTAGCTTAGAGGAACAGCATCTTGCATGGAATAGATATCTTCTGAAACAAAGCTAGGTGGTATTTGTTCTATTCGAACTGGGAATCTGCGAGGACTGTATTCCGATCATAATGTCGCAACTTAAAGTTTCAATTACTCACTTGTGAGACCGGCCATACTTGCCATGACGAGTTCTGCAGGTAGGGGATATCGTGAACCTGGAGCTTCTGGCTCAACATCTGACACGACTTGGACTCTTATAGTGGCCAGGGGACGAATCGTTTGCTTCGTTGTCTGCAGCCTATCTGTCAAGGAATCAATTTGCTTGTTCTAAGCCACAAGCCTTGCTGGTAGACGCTAGTATTGATAATAATCAGACCCTGCTAAGTTTGATGAATGAGAACGTGACCATTTCGAGTACCTTCAAATTTGGGTAGGGCCGCCGACTCACTGTGAAACAGCTGATACGCCACAGCAGCATGCAACCGCATTGCCGTAATATTTGAAGATACCAGTAGTAGTCACTGCATCAGGAAACCCACTGCCGAGTGTAGCAGCGCGTAGCACAGCGCTTCTTTTGAAACCTCTGTAGCAGCTAGTAGTAGCTGGAAGCTCTAAAACTTCCGTACTGGCTCCAGGACAGTCGAACATGTCACAATGTTCCGTAATCTTCACGTAGCGATCATGATCAAGAGTTTACCAGGATCTTCGCGGCATGATAAGATAGTATTCAAGCACCCACGACGCACGACGCTCACTGCTCGCTATTCAACTTTATCAATGAGAAGGAAACTTGGGATTGACACGAGTGATAGTACAGGCTCAAGAAGAAACTACTGGTAACTGAGAATAGCATGGAAGGTCTCTTTATCTGCAAAGTTGTTCACATAAAACTCGCGCGCCAGCTGCCAACTATTGTTACAGTTCATTGACAGTGGCACCTGTAACGGTGTCACCCAGCCGGTTCTGTATCATCATGACTTAGCGTTCTCACTCTTGCCTAACCGTTATTACACTCATTTGATCCCTGTACTACAGTTGCTGCCCATCGCCCTTCGGCCGAGAAGGCAGCTACCCGTATTCATCCCCTTCGCCTTTTGACTCCGTTATCTTCCGCATCCTCGTAGTATAAAGGCTGTATCAATATGTAGTGGTACGGCAGTGTTTTTCTGGAATACTAGCAGACTTTGAAACTGTTATTACCTTAGGAACACTTCTTCTTGTGTCGCTGACCTCGAGCCTCACACGCTAAAGTGTCATCACCACATCTTTTTTAACATCCTAAAGTCTACCCTTTTTTAACTCAAACAAACCCTTCGTCTCGTCCCTGGAACGACTTCGGTTAGGCCCACCGAACAGTACCAACAACGACACACCCAAAACTTACAAAATGAACCCTCACTACCCTCTTTGATCCCAACGCTCCGCGATCCCCAGCATCGAACTGACGCTGCCCGGATCATTAGCTGAGTCCCCGTTAACTGAACAGGATACTCACGACAAAACCCCAACTCCGTTGCCAATCGTGAGATCATTCTCACATATTGGCAACTCCGTTCTCAGACCCGCCCGCTCATACAGTGACGTGGTACGAATGAGGTCCGAGTCGCCCCAGCCCGGTGCTGGAAGGCGATCGGCTAGTGTTGATAGCGCTACGGCTAGTCCCCATGATCAGACCAGTATAATGTACGAAAGGAATAACGAACCTGTTGAAAACCCGTTTGCGACCACAAGTGAATCCTCAGCTGAATCTGAGGATAGAATCCACTGGAAAACCATTAAGAAACGATCCAGTAAGTCTCGAAAGACTACTAAGGCAAAACATAAGAAGGTTAGCCAACCAGAGCCGGACTTAGTGAGAGAAGCAGAAAAGCAACTCACTATAGAAGAAAGGCAGTGTATCTACAGTAGAAAACGCGCCAAAGTTGGAGCTCGCGTCGACAAGCAAACATCATCGTCACATGACGAAGGACCCTCTAAGGGGAAAGGTACTGACCCCAGAAACTGGGGGGATGTTGACCTGGAGGAATCAGAATTGGGCCCAGAAGCCCAAAGAGACGTGTTGGCGACCTGGGCTAGATCCCGAGCCTGGGCAAACGAGCAGACCGGTCAACAGACTGAGTCGGACTCTGAGCTGCACGGCCCAACAGTCATGGTGCCCACCGAGCGACAAATGATACTGTACTACGAGCAAAAAATTCACTTGTTAGAAGAACGACTTAAGAAAGCAGAGAGACCTACCAGACCCTCCAAAAACAACCCTAAGGTCAGGATCGCCCAAAGGCCCACTGACCATCATCCCGTCAGGGAGATGGTCAAGAAGGCTGCTGGCCGGCCCTCTAATGAACCCGGGAGGAGGGAAACCCCTCCCGCAATGGACGCTGCAGCCCAGATCGCACCTAAAAGCTATCTAGGGCGAGCTTTTGAGAAAATGAATGAAAGAGGGAAGGGAATCAAACCTGGTCACCCTGAGGACGACTCATCTGGGACGTCGTCTGAGTTGTCAACTGAATCCTCCAGTGAAAATGAGGACAGCTCGTTGAGCTCGTCCAACGATGCTGCAGGAAAATCAAGGAAAGCGTCTAAAAAACGCCGTAAGAATAAAAAACATAAATCCAAGAAGAAATCTACCTTGAAACTGATACCTCCAAGAGAGTACGATGGATCGGTTGACCTTCGGGCGTTCCACCGGTTCGTAACGGAAGGAACCACCTACGTGGAGGATGGCAGTGTGCCCCGCAAACGACAAGTGTTCGTGTTGTCACATTACCTTAAAGGCAAGGCCCACGATTTCTATCTAAGACAAGTGTCAGACCAACTGGGTAAATGGAGAATAAGAGAATTCTTCACCGAAATGTTCAACTATTGCTTCCCATTGGACTTCCAGATGAAACAACGCAAGAAGTTGTACCGCTGCTACCAGGGTGATAAGTGAGTCTGCGACTATTTGTCAGAGCTGAACGAACTATGGATGACGATCGGGGACATACCGGAAAGGGAGAAGGTCGTTAAGTTCTGGTTTGGCCTGAACGACTCAATTCAGAATGAGCTATACAAAATGCATCTCAATCCTGAGGTATCTACCTTACAGGAAGTTCAGCACATGGCCAAAATTATTGAGCTGGCCGAGTCGGCAACGACAATTGGCAGAAGCCGCGACGAGGGTCCCAAACCCACTAAGAAGGGAGCTAAAGACTCCAAGGGTCATCTATCGCACCAGACTGGGGAGGATGAGACCCACCAAGGCTCATCTAAGGATGGTCAGAGATCTAAAGACAAATCATCCTCAGGATCTACACGTCGGGATCGAGGACAAAAGCCTGTGCAGGGCAAACGGCCTGAACACCCCAAGGAGGACAAAATGAGCCGTGAGGAACACAACAAATTAATGTCGGAAGGAAGATGTTTTGTCTGTAAAGAAACGGGACACATGTCAAGACAGTGTCCAAAGAGAACGAACGTACCCTCTGGTCGACGAGATAAGCCTCCGGGCGTGCCTAATTATGCAGTGCACATCGACACCCAGAACGACCCAAGGAAGCTTGAAGACTGCACTGAGCTGATCTCTGAGATCCCATTGTGCGGGATTAGTCTGGGGTATGAGGAACCCGAAAGAACTGTTCCACGAACCTGGGGAATTGCTGATGAGCCGCTCGGAGACCCGGTGGCTCGTCGAGCCGAGCAGGTCCTATGACAATGCGCGCCCTATCCGGGTGATGATATCACTGACAAGGAAACTTTCTCTGCTGAGTGATTCCTGATATACAGGGTGTCAGACGCTAACCATGTGATCATGGATCGAGGATCTCACCTGGAAGACGACATTGAGATACCCTCGACACTGTTAGCGAACCCTGCGTTCTTTGTCAGTGATTGGTATGCGAGACGACTATCAATAGGACTAAACATACCTAAGTCCTTGTGGCGCTGCATGCAGCAGCGAAGGCAAATGGGTAACGCAATAAGGAACTGCGTACTGTCGCTGCTAAACGCCGAACCAAGGTTCCCCGGTGAACCTGGCAAGGACCGGTTTCGTGTCCAGCGCGTACAACAGGAGGAGGGAGTGGTATACGAGATATTCGACCGCAAACTGAAATTCTGTGTGAATGCTAGTGAATCGTTCCTGCGGAATGAAAAACTTAATATGACTCACTGGTATGCGAGGAGCCTCCTAAAAGGTTACCGAAGACTCAATGCCCTGATGCTAAGCAAGGAGTTAGAGTGGGAGGACTACCACTTGAGGTTGCTGGATACCGGCGAACTCAGTTCTATGGATCGCGCTCTGGAAAGTGTGATCCACCAGCTCTTCGTGATCCCGGACATGCGTTTCAAAGAAACGCCTCGGCACTACCACCTGGTAGAGTTAAATGGACAACAGGTGGCCGCTGGTAGGTACCCGGCCATTCAGCGAAACTCGGCAGTCACCCGCGACTTCCGGAGGCTGATACCCAAGCCGGTCGTCGTGGTGGCGCACATCAATGGCTGCCTGGTGAAGGCCCTGATAGACACCGGCTCTCTGGCCGACTTCATGTCCACTACATTAGCGGATCAGCTTTGCATAAAACATATCCCATTGGACAAGCCACTCACTATTCAATTGGCTGTCCAGGGCTCCCGGTCGAAGGTTAACTTTGGCGCGACGGCACAATTCGCCTACCAACATGTCAAGGAGGAGAGGTTTTTCGACATAATTAACTTACAAAATTATGATTTAATCCTCGGGACACTGTTCCTGTTCCAACATCAGGTGACGGTGGGCCTGAACTAGTGCTGCCGCGGTCCGGTCCAGAACCATGGTTCGAAGCGGACTTTTGGTCCGGTTCTCCGCGGTTCGGTCCACGGTTCTCACACCAGCCAGAACCGGACCGGAAAATGGTTCTCGGTTCTAGGTCTTCCCCAACGGTCCCATTCTGGTTCGGCCTTGCCGAACCATTCCGAACCGTTATCGACTTCGACTGTGACAACTTCGGTCTCCACGTCAAACTGTTGTCTTCGGGATTCGCACTACTGGTTAATCAGGCTACCTTTAGCCTTTTTGAAGGTAAGTACTAATCAATCAAACTCTCACATGACTTGCTGTCACAATGTGCTGCTAACTCAATTTTCAACCAACTACTACTGGCAGAACAGAATCATGTGTTGTCAAGGCGCGCATCATACTCATGGAAGCATCGGCACCGGAACAAACGACCGCACAACCCATCACACGCCATGCCACCGTGCCTATGTTGATTTATGTATGTTTGTACTATGTATATCATGGCATGTACAGGTGCCGAGAAATGGAGCCTGCCGGAATGTCTCGGCACCATACGTCCAGCTGAGCACGCGCGCTATTCGCTTCTGTATCTATTTTCCTTTCCTACACGACGACGAGTTCGTCGTACAGCATACTTCCTCACTACTGTCCGTACCTACAATCGTTTCTTTTACAGTTTCTAATGTATCAGCACCTCGGTATCGAATTAAACGAAGGGGCGCCAAATGCTCCCATTACTCCCCCATCAACCCAGGTTGCATCCGCATCTGGTTCCAATTCAATCACACAGCCGTCGTCATCCACAACACCATCTCTTCCAAGCAGCAGAGCAGCTGCTGCCCCAAGGCCCCCAGCCCAAGCTGGTGTCACAACCCAATAACGAATTAACGCTGGGCAGAGACTAGGACTCAAACAAAGGTTATCGGACAGAGAGGACGATGAGCAAGTACGTCTTGGATTGCTACAGTTGTAGATACAAGAGGTTTGAACTAAAGAACTATCGACCAAGACATGCTAACTATATACAACTATTGAAACAGAGATTGAAACTGAGTTACAACTACTAGCCAATCATAAAATAGAAAAGGGAATCGTACCATAGAACATTGTAGAATATTAAAGAAGTATCACGTGACCATATCTTATCTTATCGTATCTAATCTAATCTATTCACAATCAAAGAACTCGTCTTCTTCATCAATCACATCGAAGACACGTGTCGTGGGCGCTAAAGGTATCTCGGGAATGATAGACGCTTTCAAGGTAGGGTTAGGGTTTGATTTAGGCGCTGTGTATTGACGCTTAGGAAGATTCAAGAAAGAATAATGGTTTGTTAAAGGTACTCGTGACATTACCCCCTCTCTAAGGTGAGTGTCATCATGAACGAATGAAGGTCGGATATTCTTTTCTCTCCATCGTTTGAAATCTTCCGTAAATAGTACTGAGCCTTTGATTCTTCGGTATTTTCCGGCTGCGGCCGTGGGATTCTTTTTGTAGAACTCCGCTAAAGGAATTGGAGCGTTCTTCAAATTCTCTTCTGGCTCCCAAGATGACTCTTCCTTTGGGTATCCTTCCCATTTCACTAGGTATTGCAGCTTTCCTCGGAACAATCGGCTATCTAGTACTTCTTCTACAGCAAATTCTTCCTGATCGTCAATCAATTCTGGAGGTGGTCGGTTGGGAGGAGGATGAGGAATCAATCGAGATGTGTGATATGGCGTAAGCAATTCTACGTGGAAAACCGGGTGAATCTGATATTTTTCCGGTAATTTCAATTTGTAGTTCACTTCACCGATCTTCTCTAGTATTTCAAAGGGGCCTAGATGACGATCTGACAGTTTTTGACTTGGACGACGTTGTTTGAGATTCTTCGCGTCAAGCCAGACCTTGTCTCCTATTTTATACTGAGGTGCTTCTTTTACTCCTTTGTCGTAGAAACGCTTCATGCGTTCATTGACCATTTTCAGAGTATTTTCGGCATCATCTCTCGCTTCTTTCATCTGATCAACTCTCTCATCGGCGGCGGGGATTACGGACATGGAGTTTGGGTGGATCGTGAAATCTGGGTTATACCCGTAGAGAACTTTAAACAGACTATGACCGGTTACTGTGACTGCATTGTTGTGTGAAAACTCTGCTATCGGCAGCCAAGATACCCAATCATTTTGTCTATATGACATGAACATGTGCAAGTATTGTTCTACTTCTTGATTTACGTGTTCAGTCTGTCCATCAGTTCTGGGATGATAGGAGGTCGATGCAGACCATTTCGTTCCTAACCTTTTTGACATTTGTCCCATGAACTTTGATATGAACTGAGTTCCTCTATCTGAAATCACTTTCTTCGGTGTTCCGTGATGTTTCCATACATTTTTCAGAAATAGCTCGGAAATACCCTTCGAGTCTACGTCTTTGGTGGTGGGAATGAAGTGTGCTTGTTTTGAAAATCGATCAACGACTACAAATATGCTATCATATCCTTCACTCTTCAGCAAATCCACTATCAGGTCACAGGTGATTGTCTGCCAAGGTCCTTCTGGAACTTCATTTGGCTGTAAAGGTCCCATTGGTCTACTCGGAAGCACTTTCGTTTGTTTACACCTATCGCAACCATCTACATAATCGTGGACATACTTCGTCATTGAAGGCCACCAATAATTTCTGGAAATCAACTCTAAGGTTTTAGCTCGTCCAGGATGTCCAGCCGGTGGAGAGTCGTGAAACAACTCTAATATCTCTCGGCGGATCTCTTTGTCATTTGGAACGTAAACTAATCCTCGGAATAACACCAATCCATCTTCCACATTCCACTCTTGGATTCCTCTACGCAATTGAACCGGTGCTGCTTTTAACGTTTCTAACGCTTTAGCGACTTCAGGCTCTCGTTCTGTGCATTTTCGTATCTTTTGGAGTAAATGTTTCTCTCCATGCACCAAGACTTGACCTCTTTTAGCAGCTTTTACAGTAAAGAATTCCGGTTTCAAAAGAATGCGATCTGAGTTATCGTTTTCTACCCCCCCTCTATGGTCTGATCTCCGAGAAAGACGGTCTGCTTTATCATTAACCACACCAGGCTTGTGTTGGAGTGTAAATTCATACTCCGCTAGGAAAAGACTCCATCTAGCTTGCCTTCTGGTCAATTTTTGACTCGTCATGAAATATTCAAGGTTCTTATGATCTGTCCATATTTCAACCGGGTGAGGTGCTCCCTGCACATAGTGCCTCCACTCTTCCAACGCTCTAATGATCGCTAATAACTCTTTATCATGAATGTCGTAATTTCTTTCCGCATCATTCATTGACTTAGAGTAATATGCTACTGGATGCCATAATCCATCTTCCATGAGTTGAGAGAGAACCGCTCCTGTTGCGTAATCTGAAGCATCGGTCTCTATTTTCTTTTTCTTCTCAACATCTGGCATGACTAGAACTGGGGGCTTCTGTGAAACGTTTCTTAAGTTCATCAAAAGCCTTTTGTTGTTTCTCCGTCCAGTCCCATTTGGCATCTTTTCTTAGCAGATCATTCATTGGTCTGGCTATATCTGAGAACCCAAGTATGAATCTTCGATAGAAGTTGGCAAAGCCCATGAATGCTTGGATATCTTTTACGCATTTGGGAACAGGCCATTTCAATACTCCTTCTACTTTCACAGGGTCCATCGACACATTGCCTTCTTCCACGATCAACCCGAGGAACTCGACTTTAGACTGTTCGAAGCTACATTTCTCAGGCTTCAAGAACAGGTCATTCTCCTTTAATCGTTTCAGGACTTCTCGTACCACCTTTCGGTGCTGCTCCCTATTTCCATTCGTAAAGACCATTATATCATCAATGTAGACGACTACTGTTTTGCCATCTATTAGGTCTCTTAGAATTTCATTCATCATAGTTTGGAAGGTTGCAGGCGAGTTCGTGAGTCCAAAATACATCACTGTCGGTTCATGGTGACCAAACGGCGTTTTGAAGGCCGCCTTCCACTCATCTCCTTCTTTCATGCGAATATTATTGTACCCCCATCGTACATCCATCTTTAGAGTACATCGTGGCACCGGTTAAAGCATCAATTAAATCTTGAGATCTCGGTAGCGGATATGCATTTTTCACCGTCTTCTCATTGAGCTTTCTATAGTCCATCACCGGTCTTAACTTGCCACCTTTTTTGGCCACAAAGAAGAAAGGTGCTGCTACTGGAGATTGTGAATTTCTGATACGTCCCAGTGCAGTCTTGGTTTTCAACCATTCCTTCAGTGTATCCATCTCTTTGGGTGACAACGGATAGGGTTTCGCATTTGGCAGAAGATCGCCCTCATCTTTAAGATCTATTGCATGATCCCACTTCTTTCTTTCAGGGAAGCGCTTAGATTCTTCTTCTGAGAAAACTCCCAGGTAATCATGAAGCCAGTCCGGTACCATTTCTTCTACCGACTGCTTCTTCTTAGTAGCTTCTTCTGCTACTTTCTGCTCCGTGGCAACCTGAGGCTTTATAACGAATCCATAGTCTCTCTGGACACTCTTCATCTTCTATTTCCTCAACCGTCGCCCTCTTCATCGACATATCTTCTTCATCCTCGTCTTCATCGTCCGTAGGAATCAGATTAGGTACATCATCTATCTCTTTGTTTTGTTTTTCTTCTTTTTTAGTTTCACATTTTACAGGGCATCGAGAAAGTGCAAATCGTCCTGCATTCCAGTCAATCTCTGGATTATGATATCTTAGCCAATCTATGCCGATAATAAAATCATCGCTTCCTAAGTCTGTAACCATGAAGGCTGCTTTCTCTTCTTCATGATCACCAATCTTTAGACCTAGTTCTGCGAAATGAGTCATTGATCCAGCGGCATTTAGCGATCCATCAATATTCCTGACTGAAATAGGCCTTAATAATTTATGGCATTTCACACTGTTCTTCTCAACAAACTTCTCACTGATAAATAATGTTGATGCACCGCAATCTACAAGTGCTTTTACGTCTGCTTGTCGGTTCTTTCCTTTCAACGTTATTGGAATATAAAAATGCTCAGATTTGGATCTAATATGTACTTCTGATACATCTTGAAACGTAGAAAGAATAGAGAAACGATTGTTCGGGTCTAGGTCTGCAGACTTTGACTTCAACCCCTTTAAAAATCCTTGCCTTTGTTAGAAGCGATCCAATCTGTGAACCACTTCGGCGCGGAGTTTTCTTCGACAACAGCAGCCGCTTTGACTTGCGCTTTTGGCGCACCTTTACAGTTTCTCGCTATGTGGCCTTGTTCTCCACAGCGGTAGCAGGTGAAAGCGCCAGGCTTTCCTTGGGGTTTGGGAGATCCCCTCTGCTTGCCGGAGTCCACATCCATAGCATCACTGTCTTTGCTAGGACCAGCCTGCCTTGAGTTATTGAAGGTTCTTGTGGTTTCCTTGTTAGGGGTCCACCAATTACTCTTCTTCTTTTCAGCGTCTAGCTCCTCGTAGTTACGTCCAATCTGTATGGAGTAGTCAATGAGCTTCTTGAGGGTGTCTTTCTCAGACGCTGGAATGTGAGCGAGTTGCTCCTTGATCCGGGTTTGTAGGCCAGATCGGAATTTGAGGCAGAGATCATAGTCGGAGTATTTGGTAAGTGCAGCCTTCTGCTTGAAAGCTGCTGCGTATTCGGGCACTGATGAGGATCCTTGCTTCAGGGTTTCCAACTCCCTGACAGCCTTTCCTTCTCTGTCGTCTTGTCCCCACATGGTCTCGAATTCTTTTGACCAATCCTCAAAGGATATTGGCTTGGAATCAAGCTCAATCACGTATTTCTGCGCCCATTTAGCAGCAGATCCTTTGAGAAAAGACAGAGCAGTTGTGATTTTCTGCCTGTCTGTGATCAGTGGCCACTGTGACATATATAATGCCAACTGCGTAGCGTAGACTTCTACGGAGATCGAATCTTTGTCTCCGGTAAATTCTGTGGGCTTCGACAATTTGACTTGCGAAGTATTCGGACTTTGTGCGAATCTCTCTAGCTTCTTCTTCAGTTCCTCTATCTGTGAGTTTTGGGTCCTGAGTTGAAGCTCTTGTGTTGCGTTCTGTGCTCGAAGTGTGTTGTTGTGGTTAAGGAGTTCTTGTGTCCTTACGTACAGTTCATGTGTTGCCATGGTGATGGCATTCTGTACATAGTTGGTGAACTCCACCGGCATAGCTATGCCTTGTGGTTGTGGTCCCTGAGGCCCTTGTTCTTGGGGTTCTTGAGGGTTCTCGGGTCCCATTTCTGTTTCGTTGACTTCAGCCATAGTGCCAGGTGCGTTCTGGAATCCGATTCACTAATGACTGTTGAAGAGCGGGTCGTAACGGCTCTTCCGGATAGGAAAGATGATGAAAGGGGAGAGGGAAAAAGGATATGTAAATGGAAAGCTAAAGGGGTCCCCAGTACTAACTGGATCAACCTCGTCCTTTAGGGTCAAAGGGTTCTTTAGTCAACCCGACTGACACTTCCCTAATTACTAACTAGAAAGAGGTATGTAAAACTACGCTTTTGTTAAGTGGGAAAAACACTGTGTGCTTCGTGTGTGCTACTTCTCAATCACCGAAAGGGTACAGGTCTAGGACAAGTTATCACTCTTCCAGCCGAAGCTTACAAGTGTGAGTCTCACTAGAATCCCGTATCTAAATCCTCGTGGTAATGATGGTAGGACTATCCGCAGATGCGACAGTTCCACTAGACTTAACAAAAGGTTCTACGTGCGTATGAAGAAAGATGTAGGTATGAAAGCAATTATAGTAACGTTGAGCAGGCAGGGTCTTGGGCCAGCACTCAAAGTTGTAGCGAGACGCCTAATGTCGTCAACACCTCCATATACTGGCGGCTGCAATGTAAGGCAGGGCCTGGTATAGGACTACTAACTAATAAAGGCTATTCATAAAAAGCTCAAGTGAGCAAAAGGATGGGTTTCAGAAAAGATGATCGCAGCTGTTTAGGCTGGGCAATGGAAAACGTGTAATGGCTGTCTAAGTGGTTTGTTTGGCGATGTGCTCAACGAATCACCTAGAGAGAAATGATGTGAGCGGTATGCGAGAGTCGGAGTCTCCTATAGTTCAAACCTAATGTCACAACCCAATAACGAATTAACGCTGGGCAGAGACTAGGACTCAAACAAAGGTTATCGGACAGAGAGGACGATGAGCAAGTACGTCTTGGATTGCTACAGTTGTAGATACAAGAGGTTTGAACTAAAGAACTATCGACCAAGACATGCTAACTATATACAACTATTGAAACAGAGATTGAAACTGAGTTACAACTACTAGCCAATCATAAAATAGAAAAGGGAATCGTACCATAGAACATTGTAGAATATTAAAGAAGTATCACGTGACCATATCTTATCTTATCGTATCTAATCTAATCTATTCACAATCAAAGAACTCGTCTTCTTCATCAATCACATCGAAGACATGTGTCGTGGGCACTAAAGGTATCTCGGGAATGATAGACGCTTTCAAGGTAGGGTTAGGGTTTGATTTAGGCGCTGTGTATTGATGCTTAGGAAGATTCAAGAAAGAATAATGGTTTGTTAAAGGTACTCGTGACAGCTGGTCCACCTCAGCTGCCTGCATCGCAGATAGCCCAGCATCCAGCACCACAGCGTGCCCATCCCTCCGCCGTTCACGCCACTCAACCCGCAGCGCCTATTCCAGCGCCTCATGTCACGCAACCAATAGCAGCACCGCCAGCAGCAGCACCGCCAGTAACAGCACCACCAGCAGCTGCACCCGCACCCGCGGACGAAATCGCCGCTCTAAGGGCACGCATCGCCGAGCTCGAGCGTGGGGACGCTCACGGCATCCATATACCGGCCAGAGCCCCCGCTCCTCAACAAGCTCTGGTAGCGAACCCTGCGGATGTCGACCGTATACGAGCAAACCTCGCTGGCGCTAAAGACGAGCCTAAATGGCTCGTCTTACCTGCCCTCCAACCAGGGCACAAAGTCAGTGCTCTGAGCTTGCGTAAGTCCATCTCCACCGTTGTTCGTATCAAATCGTGGTTATCCCACGTATACCGCACTCGCATCGTCGGCTACCTTTCAGTAGCTCACCGACAGCACCACACCGAGCCATCAGCCTAGTTAGGCAATATCACCGTTTTCACTCGTGAATTCCGCACCTTACCGTGTCGGTTTTTCTTCGTGGCTCCGTTTTCTTTATGTTATCTGCTCCATCCCCCATTTTGCTGCACCGTTATACTCGTTTTTCTGACATACTCCGTTCTAGCCATACCCCTCAAAGTCGAGGAGGCTTTTAAGCAATATCGCTACGTTCCATACACAGCTCTCACACACGCAGCTCGCTCGAAGGCTTTCCTGCGTGGAGAGGACTCAGCCTTCATCTTTACACAAGATGGGCTTGCAGCTAAAGGTCTCGACCGTGCAAACGAGCTCTTGATTGTAACAGTTGATTGGATAGCGGCAGCAAAGGCTGCTGAGGATAGAACCCTGCACTATTGGGGCGAGGCTCGGGCGTCAGCCCTTGTATCTCACCATCTTGTAGTTCTCGATATCGGCCGTACGCATGGCTGGTCCGTGGCAATGCACTACGACGTGCAGCAAAGAGAATTGGCTCATGCCAACCACGAGCATAATCTTGCCAGCCTCGATGTAGCGGCCCTTACCATTGCAAATAATAAAATTCCTGCTATCATACCTCAGTCTGCTCCATTTATCTCACCCTCTAAGCGAGCTGCCCCAAGCAATTTTCATTCTTCCCCTCATAAAAAGTCGCATACACTTGTATTGAGCCATTGTTTTCGTTGCGGAGCAAGTGGCCACTTGCCCGCCGACTGTTCCGCCGATACAACCGCAGCGGGAAAACCGGTTGCAGCCCTCGCTACCAACGCCAGGAGCAAGCATGCACTCGCTGCCTCAAACGGAAAACATTACTGCTTTAATTGGGGATCCATCTGCACCTTCGGTCCCAACTGCAGAAATGTCCACTCCTGCAGCATCTGCGGAGATTCTTCTCACAGCGCCGGGAGCTGCAAGGCTCGTGGGTGACCCATGCGCTGTTGTCACCCCGCTCGACTACCTCCGGGTGGAAGAGATCCTTCGTACATATGGTATATTTAATGATTGGCGTCATATCGTTGACGGTATACATAACGGCTTCAATGTTGGTGTCTCAGAATCACCACCCACTACTCATTTATTTCGAAAATCACTCGTCCTCATTACTCAATCCTTCCATAATCGACGCGTACATACTCTCAGAACAAGCCGCGGGCAGATATTCTACAGGTTTCAGCCCCGCAGACCTCGAACTCTTAATCGGACCATTTCGTACTTCCCCTCTGGGCCTTGTCCCAAAGCCACATTCTAGCAAGTTCCGCATAGTGCAGGACCTATCCTACCCACGCAACTCCCCAAATATACAGTCCGTAAACAACGGAATCAGCACAGACGACTTTCCTACCATCTGGGGTACATTCGACGAGACTGCCGCCCTCATCCTCACGCTTCCCCCCGGTTGTGTTGCAGCAACCTTCGACGTCTCTTCAGCTTATCGTATAATTCCAGTAATACCCTGGCAGCAAAATGCCCTCTGCATATTCTGGAAAGGAATTGTTTACGTGGATCGAGCTCTCATGTTCGGCCTTACTTCCAGTGCTGGTGTTTTTGGCTCCGTTGCCGACATGCTTGTAGCCATTTACAACAAAGCCGGTTTCGAACTCATCCGAAAATGGGTAGACGATTTCCTAGTCATCCGCCTCCCACACCAATCATGGACCAAAGCAGATTTCATAGCCTTAACAGCCCACTGCGGAGTACCGTGGAGCCTCGAGAAGCTTCGGCTCTTTGCCTCCATCCAACGATATATTGGTTTCGACTGGGATTTGGACCTCAAGTGAGTTTCACTGCCGGAGGACAAGCTCCGCAAAGTGCAGGACACAATCACGCTCTGGCTGAGCCTCGGAGCCACATTCACTGCAAAGGAGGCTGCCAGTCTGCACGGAAAACTCGTGCACGTGGCATGTATCTTCCCTCTGATCCGTCCGTTCTTGCGTGCTATAGCAGTGTTCGCATCCAATTTCCGTTCTCCACGCGCACATCTTCGCCCGTCCGCAGCTGTTCTCGCGGATCTGCCCTGGATCCAATCTCTACTATCACTCCTTCCAAACTCGATACTCATCACAGACCCGTCACCAATGGACATTGGGTGGTGGGGAGATGCAAGTTCTTCCTTCGGCATCGGAGTGGTCATTCAGAAGCACTGGGCCGTCTGGCGTTGGGCAACAGGTTTCAAGGTCGGCCCAAAGCGGGATTTCGACATTGGTTGGGCGGAAGCCACCGCAATAGAACTTGGGCTTCGATTGGCCCTGCACTTGGGTAATTTTGTCCTATCATTTCAGCCTTCCACCGACTTATTTTTTTTTTTAACAAATTCGAAGGTATCATAACGCACCACGGATCATCGGAAAACGTCACCTATTTAGTGCGCTCGGACAACATCGGAGTAGTGGCAGTGACGAACAAAGGCCGTTCCCGCAGCCCTCAAACGAATGCGGTCCTGAAGCATGTGTATTGGATGCAGGCAGAGAATGGCTTTCATCTACAGGCAGTCTACGTGCCCACTCGCACCAATATCTCAGATGCCTTGTCTCGCGGCGACGTCGAGACCTTTTTGAGTGGTTTCCCTGGAGCAGCGAGTCCAGTTTCCATTCCCCTACCACCGCATTTATCAGGCAAACTCGTCCAATTATTGTAAGGGCACTGCATCACGTATCTCTGGTTGTCAGTCACCCACCTTCAACACCCCCCATATTGAACACGATCTCATCGCATCTCCGCCCAAATTGCCGAGCATCAGAACGGCTTTTCATGTGGCGAGGTGTAAATTCTCTGCCCTCGTCCATGATTGATAACCCGGTAATTCAACATATAGCCAATTTGGCCAACCGAGCATCTCTCCGTGACACGGCTAGCTATGGTGCCGGATTACGAAAATTTCACATCTTCTGTGATATTTTTTTGATTCCAGAATCTAACCGCCTTCCAGCATCTTTTGAAGTGCTGCATTCCTTTGCCTTATGGGCTGTCACAGATCCAGACCCTAGCGATCCACTTCTTTCAGCTAATAGTGGCACTACTGTGGCATTCGAGCCTGTTTCAGTCGGGGTAGCACGTAAATACCTGTCTGCTGTGTGAGCCTGGCACATTGCGCAAGGTTGGCCCCTGCCACTATCTGATTCTCACCATGATCGCATTAATTGGTCCTTGCGTGGCCTGGAAAACTTGCACGGTGGCCATCGAAAACCTCTCCGGCCACCAATTTCACTCGCGATGCTCACGGCCATCAAATCCACCCTCATATTATCAGACCCGTTCGACGCGTGTGTTTGGGCAATGGCGTCGTGCGCATTCTTTGGTATGATGCGCTTTGGCGAAGTCTCCGTTGCCTCTCATTCTGCATTCAATCCACTCAAACACCTCACCCGCGCTCACACATTCTTCAGACACGATCTGCGAAACAACCCTTATGCACGTCTTGATCTGCCATCCACCAAAACAGCGAGAACCGGAGAGTCACAATCAGTATTTCTCAACGAGCAAGGAAACCTATGTCCCTTATCAGCTCTCCGCAACCTGGCTTCAATCGTTCCTGCCCTCGCGAATGATCCTTTATTTTCGTGGCGCGACAGCAAAGGTGATGTTCGTCCAATGACCAAAATACGAGCCTTGGAACGCATCAACTCAATTCTAATAGCCTGGGGTTGGGGCACGTCCTTCGGTCACTCCTTTCGAATAGGTGGTGCTTCCTTTTATCTCGCGAAGAAAGTCGACCCCAGAATAGTTCGCATTGCCGGCCGCTGGAAGTCATTAGCATACAAAACATATATTTGTGCATTCGAACAAATTTCCTCTCAGCACATGGCCAACGCAGCATTGTTATGACTGTCGCCTCCACGTCTTGTTGGGCTAGGCAGCTATGAGCCGCGGATCGTTCCGGCTAGTTGGGTGAGCGGCTCCACCCTGCCTGCGTCCCCCCCGAGCTAACGCTCGGTCCAGCCCAACCTATCAGATCATGTCAGCGACTCTCGAGCCAGACAAAGCTGGAATGTACAGGTGCCGAGAAATGGAGCCTGCCGGAATGTCTCGGCACCATATGTCCAGCTGAGCGCGCGCGCTATTTGCTTCTGTATCTATTTTCCTTTCCTACACGACGACGAGTTCGTCGTACAGCATACTTCCTCACTACTGTCCATACCTACAATCGTTTCTTTTACCCACCCACCACTCCCTCAAATTTTTCATGCTACATTTCACACTTCGTAATTCCGCGCTATGTAAATAGTCGTATTTCACGGCATGTTATTCATTACCATTCATTCCGTCACTCGATAGTCCTATGGCATGGTCAAATTCGTAGGTAGATGTCCCGCCCTCCCGAGCGGCTCCACCCTGCCTGCATCCCCCCCGAGCTAATGCTCGGTCCAGCCCAACCTATCAGATCATGTCAGCGACTCTCGAGCCAGACAAAGCTGGATTCAGCGACCCGCGGGTTCACCTGTGCTCAACCCTAGAGAGTCCGACTCTCTTTACTCTCATTTACGATGATCGTAATTATTGCATCCATTATTATCGCTTGCCCTCTGACTTTGCATCTTTTTTTCATTGGCACGTCTTTCGTTACATGTTTTTCTGGTCCCCTGAGTTCCTTATACATTCCCTCGATCTCTAACACGCCATTCAGTCACATTCCTAGTACACTGAGGCTCTTGTCACGCTCTCCATGGCATGTGAAGCTGGATTTCTAACGCCCACTCCTAGTACTTGATATTCATCGTCTCTATTGCCCTCAGTGGCAATGAAGAAAGTCCTGTCATGTATAGGTGAGTCATGTTATCAAATCCAGGAAAACTACTGATAATCACGCAAAGGCCCCCTTGCCCATTTCTGCAGCCTCGGCATGCACTGTCATCCCAGCACCATGTAGGACATTTATCATCAGCCGCCGCGTCAGTGGGCACGGCGAAGATTAATGATGCTGAAGCTATGGCGAGGACAATCACATAAGAGAAACACATTGTTTGGTGTAATATGGGATAAGATAATTCTGAAGAAAATGGTAAGAAGATGACTGGGTTTTATGTGCTGAATATTCCTTTCTTCTCACTAGGGTATACTCGCGTGTCGGAGGATCAGAGTTTTCCCGTACTAACCCGCGGTACAGCAACTATTCCAAATGACCCAATAGGATAATGACAGCGCCTACGCGCGGAGTTCCCAACACCTTATTCCTACGGAATCTGAGCTCAAGCCCATTTTTTCGAGTCTAACTTCATTTGTACCAGGCTAATTGGTCCAGCGAGCTCAACCCCTTTAATGCGTGCTGATGATGTACATGGCCAAATGCAGAATTTGCACTACCTAACATTTGACGGTCTTTGGTTGTCGCTTTATCGCATTCTGACGAGAATATTTGCAGAACAAATAGATTCGGAACAGATTTTACAAAGCAAGTGCAGGTACTAAGATAATGGGCGAAAGCGCGCAGCGCTGACCGGCCCCGGTCGGATGTCTGCCCAAGGTAGGAGGTGAGCTGCGAATTCCTCAGAGGAGTAGGAGTCTATATGACGCATCACAGCGAAGCCGTGTATACCTTTC